AGTTATTTATTAGTTCCCATAATAGGAGAACTAGAGGACACCAAATGAAATTAATGGGTAGCAGGTTTAAAACTAATAAAAGAAAGTTCTTCTTCACACAGCGTGTAGTCAACCTGTGGAACTCCTTGCCAGAGGAGGCTGTGAAGGGTAGGACTATAATAGAATTTAAAGAGAAGCTAGATAATTTCCTGGAGGTTAGGTCCATAAAAGGCTATTAGCCAGGGGATAAAATGGTGTCCTTGGCCTCTGTTTGTCAGAAGCTGGAGAGGAATGGCAGGAGACAAATCGCTTTATCATTGTCTTTGGTCCACCCTCTCTGGGTCACCTGGTGCTGGCCACTGTCGGCAGACAGGATACTGGGCTAGATGGACCTTTGGTCTGACCCAGTACGGCCGTTCTTATGTTATGTAATGTCATTTAAACTTCAGACTGGTACAATAAGTATGAAAAGAAAAGAAAATAGTCATAGCACAGCCAACGGAAAGACATTGGCCAAACTCAGCCCTAGTGTACATTTGGGATGTAAGCGACTAGTCAACTATCCGATAAGCGTAAGCTGCCTTTTTCAGAGAGAGGTAGCAAGGATGGGAGCAGGAGCCGGTGCAGGGGGGAGCCAGTTTAAAAGCCAGTGCCCCTCAGCACCAGTTCCGAGGGTGAGGGGGCAGGGGCTCAGCAGGGAAATGATATGAGTGGGGACTAAAGCAGTCCCCGCTCGACTGATTCCCACTGTGGCCGCTTCAGTCTTTGAAATATACAAGAGCGCCGCAGGGAGCACAGGGCCAGCGGAGAGTCAAGCAGTCCCCACTGGCCCGTATTCCCACTGTGGCCACTTCAGCCTTTGAAATGTAAGCAGAAATGGGGCTCTTATACATTTCAAAGTCTGAAGCTGCCACCTTAGGAACATGAGACCAGCAGGGACTGCTTAAGTCCCCGCTGGCCCAGTGCTCCTTGTGGACTGTCTCCGGGGTGCCACCTGCTTCCCCACTGCTACCTCTATCAGAAGCAGCAGCGGGAGATAGGAGAGGCTGCCCTGGCTGGTCCTGGCTGCTGTGAA